AAAAAAAAAAAAAAAAAGAAAAAGTTAGTGAACCCCTGGCAGAAGTCAACAACAAAAGGACTAGCCTAGACATGTCTTTTTTTTTTTTTTTTGGGCTTTTCCGCCTCCCTCACCCCCTGCTTTTTTATTTGTTGCATTCAAATAAACTTTCCTCCCCGGAGGCGTGGTTTCCTCCCGCAGAGGGGGATGGTTGGAGGTTTTGCTCTTCTTTTTTTTTTTTTTTTAATTTAATTTCTCATTTTTTTTTTTTTTTTTGGAGGGGGGGAGAGCTGCTCTCCGGGCCGAGCAGGAGCACCCCGCATCCCCCCAGCATCCTTCCTCAACTACCTTTCTACAACCGTACATCCCTTCTACAACTACCTGAAAGGAGGTTGTAGAGAGGTGGGGACTGACCTCTTCTCCCTGGTGAAAAGCGATAGGACGAGAGGAAATAGATTCAAGTTATGTCAGGAGAGGTTTAGATTGGATATTAGGAAACATTTTTTCACTGAAAGGGTTATTAAACATTGGTATAGGCTGGCCAGGGAGATGGTGGATTCTCCATCCCTGGAGGGGTTTAAAAAAAAGGGTAGATGTGGTGCTGAGGGACATGGTTTAGAGGTGGTTCTGTCAGGGTAGGTTAATGGTTGGACTTGATGATCTTAAAGGTCCCTTCCAACTTTAGCGATTCTATGATTCTATGATCAACTCCCCACCCTTCCCTCCACCCCTCCTCTGCATCCTCCATCCCCTCCCCTACATCTCCTCCTATATATATATTTTAAATATTTTTATTGGAAAACAGGATAAGTAAGCAAAAATGTGGGTGCCAGCGCAAGATCCTACCCCTTTTCCTCAGTTTTCTCCATCCCCTGCTTTGCAACTCGTCTCGGGGAAAGGAAGGCAGAACACCTTGTTCCCAACTTGCCAAGAGCTCCAGCAACACGCCGCCCCGCCAACAGACTTTCTCGTGGTTTTTTAGCATCGCTTGTCAGCGCTTGCTATTTGCAGCTCATAACCCCCTTTCCCCTAAGACAACGGATTTATCGCTGGGGATGGGAAAAATGAAGGTGGCTGGAGGGTGGTTGGTGGGTGAGCCGAGGCCTTGGCAAACGTGGATGGGGCTGGAGAGGTGTGCTGGCCATGTAAAGGACATTGCTGTCTCTGTCCCAGGGGCACCAAAAAAACTGGTGGTGATTTAAAAACAAACAAAAAAAAATCCAACACCCTCCATAAATACATTTTTCAGGACCTAAAATGTGCCTCCGGCAATGCTGTGAGATGCACCGCCCCAGCAGGTATTCCTTCCATTCCCTCCCTCCACCCTCCTCCCCTGGTTCCCCCAGGGCTGGGTGTCTCCTGACAGTAAGGATGATGTCCCCATGGTCACCTGGCATTCAGGATGGGATTTTGGGAAGAGCCACATGTTTCATCACCTCTCACTGCTGTCAGAGCTGGTCCTCAGGCTGCTGGTGTTGAGCATCTCGCAAGCAAAGGAGATGTTTTGAAGCACCCACCCCATCTCTAAGGCACCCTGTTGTGCCCATCACCCTGGCTTCTAGGCCTGGTGGTACCAAGGGAACTGCTGACAGGACCCCAAGGGCAGGCAGGACATGGTCAGACCCAAAGTGCAAAAATTAGTGAGCTCCGTGTGCCTCCTACCCTTAAAACCACACAAAATTAATGATTTCACCATCGGGGACCTCATTGGGGTGTCCTGGGGCTGCTGGATGTCACTGCCTGAGCCCGCACTATCCCTGCAGCCACTGGCTGGCCTTTTTGGAACCTGCTTATTTTTTCCCCTCAAAGCTGTATTGCGGTTAAATCTTGGCCGGCCACCTTGTCCCATGGGTGCTATCCAGGCACGAGGTGGTGGGACGGAGCAGGGCTCCTCCATGCCTTCCTGGAGCTGGGTGGGCACCCACAGACCCAGCTGAATTTCTCCAAATCTGAATATTTTGCGCCCTCTCCTGGGTCCGGGTGGCGTGGCCCGCTGTCTCCCACCCTGTGGCCCTTCCTTTTGTCTGGGAAGAGTTGGGGACACCAGGCTGGGATTGTCCCCCCAGCCACCACTCTCCCAGCCCCCGGCATTTTGCCCTTCTGTTGCAGGACCCCAAAAATACATTGGAGGAGATTTCTGCAGGGATGAGCACCAGCCAAGGGAAAATTTGAGGCTGGTTCTGCCTCCTCCATCACTTTCTGTGCTCCAACCCAAAGCTGTTGGCACCGTGCATGGTCCTCCCCACCAGGACATGGCCACCGCTCCTTCAAAACCAGGCGGCTTGAGCTAACGTCGTCGCAGGGTCCCTCTCCATTCCAGCCCACCGCGATGCTGAGATCCCTGAGCATCATCCAAGAGCTGATGACCACCCTGGGTACCCTCCTCATCCTCGTGACAGCAAGGAGACACATTGGGACCACCAGCCTGGGATGCTGGTGAGGTCCTCGGATGGCCACCCACCCGAGGAAGATGCCGCACGCCTGCGGGGAGCAACTCGGGATGAAGTCGCATGCTTGGGCGGGTGCAGGATGGATGATCATCTCCAGAGATTTGAAGCAAATTGTTTAAATCAACTTGGACATGATTATTACACACAGACAACCTGCGAGAAATGCAGTGGAACAGTTATCCCTATATATACACATACATACACTGTATAGATAAATATAGTGTGTTCAGGGTGGAGAATATCTGCGCCGCGTAGCCTGTGCTGAGCTACAAACCTTCCCCTGCTTGGATGTATCATACGCACGTATACGTAGTGGGTGTGTATATGTGTACATATCCATCTGAAAAAGGGGGAGAGGTTTATTCTATACATCCTGTATGTTATAGAAGACTCCCAGAGCGATTAGTGGTACATCCCCACCTGGCGCCGTGTAAGCATATCCCTCCTTGCCAGGAGGAAGCAGCATCCCACCAGTGGCCGCGGGGAGCAAAGCTCAAGCCCCAACCCAGCGTGGAGAGGCCAAGCCAATGGTGGGACGTGCAGTGACATGGCCGAGGACATCGAGTAGCTCAGTGGCATGGGTTTCCTGACTCCTGGCATCGTGTCCGGGTGTGCCAGCTCTGATTTTGGTGGATCCTAGTTAGGAGGTGACAGCAAGATGCTGAGGCCAGATTTGGGGAGCTGGTCTAAGCAGGGAGCTGGACCTGGATGATGCTGGAGGTCCCCAGGCAGGTGACACACCTCTGGCTTGTGTTGAACCCAGTGCATGGTCATCACTCGGGTGGGAAATCCAGCACAGGTGTCCCAGTTGCCCTTATGTCCCCCTTCCCAGCTCCCAGTTCAACTAGGGATGATCTCCCACCGTTTTGCAGCACCGGTGGCACCAGTGGACCAATGTTTCTTACTGGTCTGGCCCCACTCTGGGGACTGGGGGATAGGGATGCCCCAGTATTACCCCCAAAAATGTCCGTGACGCTGATCTTGAGCTGGAGAAACCCACAGGCCCATATCGCCAGACAGGTACGAGCTCAGCCAAACCCTTCCCGCCCTTCCCATGGCCCCATCAGGGAAGCTTTAAACAAGAAGGGGGAGAAATTGGTCCTCAGCAGCTCACTCTGAGCCAGGGACCATGTCTTCCACAGTCCCACTGTGTTCTCCATGGCCCCACCAGTGTTTTTTATTGCATCAGTGGCTTGGTCACCAAAGTAACATGGTGCTAAGTTGCTCAAACCAAGCAACCGAGCCAGACAGAGGACACCGGATCTGTGCCATGACGTGGTTAATACTGTGACGCTGCAGGCTGGAGATGGGATGGAAGGGCTGAAAGCTCAGGAGATGCTGTCCTCCAACACGTCCCCAGCTGAAACCATCTCTGCTTCGTGGACCTTAAAGCCAAAATTGCTCTATGTCTGGTCCTGGTGACAGCGAGGTGGCCCTCATCCTCACCTAGGAGCCGTAGTTAATGCAATGGTCATGCCGCCACTTAGAGCTCATCTTGTCAAGGAGGTAACGGGTGCTCTCACGAAACTTCCGTTTGGTAAAGTAGAAGAGAATGGGGTCGAGGACACTGTTCATGCTGGCGAAGGGACGCGTGCACTTGTAGGCGATGGCAAACGCCTGCAGAGATGGGCAGGGCAGGCTGGGTGAGGAACGGACGATCAGGTAGATGGTCTTGGTGAGGTGGAAGGGGAAGAAGCTGATGGAGAAGACGATGACCACGATGATGATCATACGTACAGCTTTGTCCTTCCTCTTGTGCACCGCCAAGCCGATCAACTCATCCTTCTGGCACAGGATCCGGGCCATGCTGCAGTAGCAGGCAAGGATGGCCACGAAGGGCAGCAGGAAGCCAGTGACGGTGAGGGTGATGCCGTAGGGGAAGTAGGCAGCAGAGCGATCTGGTGGGCTCAGGTCGTAGCAAACAGTGCGGTTCCGTTGGGTACCGGTGGAAGCAAAGACGAAGGTGGGCAGGCACTGGGCAATGACAATGAACCACACCGCTGCACACACCAGCCAAGTCAGCTTCTTCCCCTTCTTCTTGTGCCATGAGGCCAAGGGGTGGCAGATGCCCAGGTACCGCTGGACGCTGATGCAGGTGAGGAAGAAGATGCTGCCATGTAGGTTGGTGTAGAACTGAAAGCGGACAAATTTGCAGGTGAAGTCCCCGAAAGGCCAATAATCCTTCTGGGTGTAGTTGTAGATGAGAAGCGGGAGGGAGCAGACGTAGAGCAGGTCAGCCACGGCGAGGTTTAGCATGTAGATCATGGTGCGGCTGAGCGCCTTACGGGCCACCCAAATCTGCCCGATGACCACTGCGTTCAAGGGCAACCCCACCATGAACACCACTGAGTAGACCAGCGGCAGCAGGACCTGCTTGAACTCCTCGTGGAAGGTGCAAGAGTTCCTCCCGGCCACCATGGGGGCTGTCAAGTTGGCCATGGTGGTGGTCCCCCCCGCTGATGTCCTCTCTGCTGGTGTGGTGCCTCAGCAGCGCCTGCGAATGACAAAGAGGGTGGTTGGTGAATTGGCCACATGCTGTCACACCCACCCTAGCACGATGAACCTGGAACCAGAGTGTGTGACCCCATAGCCCCATCCTTCTGGGTTGGGGCAACCCCTGGTGTCCATACAGGCTGGGGAAGAAGGGATGGAGAGCAGCCCTGAGGAGAAGGACCTGGGGGTGTTATAGAATCACAGAATCACAGAATCACAGAATTCACAGAATTGTTAGGGTTGGAAGGGACCTCTGGAGATCATCTAGTCCAATCCCCC